AACGTCATGAGAGGTATGATGAACACAAAGGATCAGGAAGGAATCGGCCCATTTCTTCTCTCTTCTCAATTTGTTTAATGGCGCTCCCATTACACCCACCAAGAGCGACTGAACAAATAAACAACGAACTGAATGAGTAAGGAACGAAGCCACAATGGTCTAATTTAAGGTACTATCCTAGCATTCGTCTGTAGGGAGTAGAGGAAAACCTCGAAAGGCCCGAATTAGTATAACCTGTCTCTGAGCCGATGTTTGAATCCGGGTCATTTTGAATATCAATGAGAAATGCCAACCAATGGCAATCACTCCATGTTATAGAAATATAATTTCAGTATTTTACACACGCTCATTTTTATTTTTATTTTCAAAATTTCAAAATACAGAATTAAAAATGTTATAATCCCCACATTCGAAATTCCATCATTTAAAAAATCTGTATTTAAACATCTACTTAACCGTAAACTAGACAAACTTAATCTAACCTAACATAACATATCTTAACTTGTCCTAATGGACCTGGCATAACGTAACGTTACGCAACCTAACCTAACCTAACCTGTTTTAAACTGTTCTTCCCTAACCTGTCCCCACAAAAACTTAACATACACGAACAATTCGGCTGATTCTCACTTAGATCATTACGAACTACGATTACCATAGAATCCACGTTAAAACTCAAAGAACGAGCAACGGTGTCGTCAGTGGTAAACACGGTAATAATTGTAAAGAAACAATTTCTCACTATGACCACCAGATCGCAGCATCAGAATGACCACCTCACGATTTTCCATATCCGTCATTTTGTTGTCACCATTTGTAGGATATCTAAAAGTTCGAGTTTAAGTTCTTAGATAGCAGCACAACCTCCACATAAAATTTCATCTAGAACTTTCCACTGATTCTCGAGGAGAATCGACTAGACAGACACGACCAGCCCATAAAGCGTTCTCGACATTCTCTTCGTGCGTTCCAAACATTCTGTCAAAATTAGCCCAACGCTTTATGAGTAAATGTTTTTCACTGCATAAAAATATTTTTAATTTAATTGTCTGGAAAAATACTACATTTAGGAACAATACTTTTGCTTCTTGGCTATCGATGAAATCCAGTTTATAGCATTTTATACTTTATAATTCATCCAAGTTTAGCAAAGAGAAGAGGTTATGAAACTAAAGCAGAACTTCGGGTACAAATTTATTCCTGAACCAGGATCACGACAACACTGAAGTGAAGACTGATTTATTTAATCGTTACGTGTTGTGGACATTAGTTATAAGAATTTGGATTCAAATCTCATTTCCAGTCATGTACATGGCAGCATATAATTAACTAACTCCCTGGTAGAACCCGCAGGTCCAACACCGACAGCACCGCATACGATCCTGAGACAACTCATCCATTTTCTACCATCACAGTCCACCTCTTTAAGATCAGAAACTAGTAACTTAACAAAAATATACATTTCGGTTCAAAATACCATCTAAACCTTGAACTATAACCTCACATTTAAGTTGGAATTTTAATTTAACTTGCTTCTTGAAGAATATCACTGCCCTTTACTTTGCGAAGATGTAAGTTTGTCAATATGTGGATATCGCAGGAACGATTCGAAGCTTTTTAAATAATAGTCTATCACTTAAATGTGGGGCAGTCCCACAATTTCAAAAAACGCCGCCCTAGCGCTGGCAGAATGCGGTGTGACGTCAGATACGCGTATCGATTGTGCTGCGCGCGCTACCCCAACGGCTGGCGTGCGGAACGGACGCCATAGTGTTGCAGGTGTGAGGGGTCAGACTAGGTCGTCATGAGATCCGCGTGAAGCTGTACTCCGCGGCGGTAAGTAGCCTCTGGGGAAAACCATGTGCTTTGTGTTGTTTGTCTGACGGGTTTGCTTCAGGCGTACGAGAAAAATGATCGATTGGAGTCAAGCAGCAAGTGATAAATCGTCTTTCCGGTCCATTAAGTCGTGCTCTGGGCATTTCGTCTTTGTAAAAGGTGGTTTTTGCTAATCTAGAACGCTGGAGGAAAGCAACATGGGTGGTTCTTGTCTAAAAAGAAACTAACCGGTTGAATTTCGTGCAGAATGGATTCAGAAAAGTTGTGTAAACGCTGAAATGAAGTGATGTTTACACAGACATTTTACAAACGTTTGAACATCTTTAGAAAACGACACGCTTTTACGTTGTTCATCTTCAGAGCGATCAATTCGTTCCAGGCGGAGAGGACCACTTCGTTCGAAACGTGTACAGGACAAATACAACAAGAAAAATGGATTTGATAGTCTTAGATGAATCGGGCGATTTCAAGAAACTTGTTTTGGTGTTGATACTTATGGTCCTTTCAAAGTTAAAACTTAAAGAGAAACTAAAAAAATACGTATTACTGTTCCGAAATTTGTGGACAGCTTATTAATTGTATACAGATATTTAAAGAATTAATTTCATTGTATTATTCTCATTCCATTTTTGAAAATGTATTTACCTTTAGCGATACAATTGTCAGTCTTTAGTTTTAAATATTTGTGTACGGCAAAATATCCTTATATAATGTAAGATTTGAGGTCTTCACAGCGGTGAGTATGAAGATTTCTGTCTTCTGGGTTGTTGCGCTGTGTAGTCTGGTCGATGTTTACCAACGTTTC